TGMYGCTATCTCCCATACACATTATCCAGAGGGTGGTGATAGTATGATTCTCAAGCCATGTTTGCAGTTTAGGTTGCATTTTGACAAGCTAGTTTGCGGCAGATGTAAACTTAGGGCTCTTTTGTGAGGAGGTAAGTAAAGGACAGCTCATCCTGGACAGCACAGTGCTGTCCCACGTGGCCATCTGGCAATGGTTTTATTGATGCTGTAGGATGGGCTCAATGAGAACCACTAACAAAATTGGCGCTTTTTTTCTGATAAGTGCCCATCCTCAAGTCAAACAACTGTATGCATGTGTAGGWAGGCCAGTTTTATCTGGGTGTGCGGGTGCTCTGGCACACCTGGACAGTGCTGCACCTGCGCCGGGCAGTGCAGCGTCCACTGYTTAGCACCTCCCCTGGTTCTGCTCTGGGCGGGCAGCTCTGGGTCTGGCACAGCCCTTCGGTAACGCCGCGCCGGCTCCAGCGCACGTGTTGCCGATTGYCGCCGTGCCGGTGTCCCGGGAGAGCCCGGCGTCCGGAGGGAAAGCATGGCCGGTAKCTCCTGCGGCGGCTGGAGGGCTCAGCCCGCCCGCCAAGTCCCGCAGCGGTAGCGCCTGCCCGGCTCCAGGGAAGCTGCCGTCGGGTCCCGGCGCTCTCCGGGAGGGGCCGCGTCTGCGGAGCCGTGCTCGGCCCAGATGGCGCCGGAGTCCGCAGCCCCTCGTGCTCGGAGCTGGCCGGCCCTGCTGCCCCCCCGCCCCGGCGCATTGTCCGCAGCATTGTCCACCGCGACCCCCCGCCCTGCGGCCCGCCCCGTCCAGCGGCGTYCCTCCCTCCCTCCTCCGGCCGGCCCTGCCCCTCGCCCCCTTCTCCCCAAAGGCCAATGGAGACGAGATGCKGAGAGTAGGGCCGGGACGGGCGCGCCGGGGCCGCTCCGTCCGTCCCCAGTCTCCTCCCCTCGCCCGCTGACCGGTCTGTGGAGCGGCCGGCGGGGCATGCCAGCCGCGTCCCGCTGAATGGCGCCGCTCCGCCGCCGGCCGCTGCTGCGGCCGCTGCTGCTCCTGCTGCCGCTGCCAGGTGAGTCTGGCCGGCCCGTGCCCCATTGTCCGCCCCGGCCCCACTGCGGCCGCCGCACGTGGCTTTATTTGGCYGGCATCGGCGGGACCGGTCGGTGAGGGAGCGGGAACCGGCGGCGGCTCCGCGCTTTGTTCGCGCCGCGACGGGGCGGGGGGTGGGGCGCTCGGACGAGGGGCTTTCGCTAACGATTCCTTGTAAAATCAGCCTTTTTACGACGCGCCCCGCTCCGGCTGCTTTGGCAGGCTTGTAAAATTAGCGAGCGGGCCGGGCGGAGCGGTCGCACCTGTGTGGCCATCCCGGCGCTGCGCTCCCCGCGCCCCGCGCTCCCCGGGGCCACCGCGCCCCCCGCCCGTGCTGTGGCGGTCCCCGGGCCGGTGTGGAAGGCTCTGGTTCTCTGGCTCCTTGGCCTTTTACAGCCTGAGGGCTTCGCGCCTCTCGGAGTCAGCACCAAGTTTCCCCGGAGTTRTCCGAGTTTGGAGCGCTCGGAGCGTGTGATAGCGATAGCTTTACCTCGTGCTGTGGGTTCAGCGGGATGACTCGCAGCTCATAGGGTGCTTGGTAATCTGCACGTCTCTGCTTACACGTCTGTCCTTACAGGCAAAATGTTTTTTCTTCTCTTTTAGGAGTGTGGTGCTTTAGTGAACTGTTTTTTGTGAAAGAGCCTCAGGACRTTACTGTCTCAAGGAAGGATCCGGTGGTTTTAGACTGCCAAGCGCGTGGTGAAGCTCCTATAACTATTACATGGCTGAAAAATGGAGGCAAAGTGTCTGAAAATGAACGGATCTACACTTTATCCAATGGCTCGTTGTATATCAGTGAGGTAGAAGGAAAGAAGGGAGAACTGTCTGATGAAGGATTTTACCAGTGCTTAGCTCTGAACAAATATGGAGCTATTCTCAGTCAAAAAAGCCACCTCACACTAGCAAGTAAGTCCCAGCTCCTGTTTATTAACTTGCTCATGAGTTTGTGACAGCAAGTCCCTGAATGGCACATAACAACCTGTCATTTTGRTTGTCYACCTGAAAAGGTAAAATGCAAAATKATAGAGCAATTCTACAGAACYTTTATTTCTTTTTAAATGTTTAAGGATTATGGRAAAAATTTAYGGTGGTCYRTCTTTGAGTCTCTCATGTGGCAGAAGTGGCGCRGGCGCCTGTGAGGCCTCTTGGGCAGTGGTGCCGTGTGTGGGTGGCTCATGTGTGTCACCAGTCTCTGGAGCAGCTGGTGATGCACAGTCATGCTGGCCACAGCAGTCCTGGTCTTATTTTCCAAGTGCTGTTCTAGCACCCTGACAAGGGTTGTCTACAGATCCAGTTAAAAAAGAAAAAATGCCTTGTTCAGCAGCTTGATGTTGTGTTGTGCCATCTAGGGGCAGGGCAGAATGATTAATATAGATGTTTATCTTTGGAAGGGGAAAGAGGGGAAAGGTTTTCTGGGCAACTTTAAGGCCTTGTTTTTCTGACACGTGTTCAGCCAAGCAGATGTGGCTGCTGTCCCTTTCGGGACTCCTCGGAATGTCCCATAAGGGCTTGTAATGTGGTTCCTTTAGGAAGTGAGAGTCACATTTCTAGGGTGACTCCCTACTGCTGCATGAATGGTGAAGGAAATAGTTGTGTCTAAGTGCCTTTATGGCTTTAACAGACTGACCCTGGGTGTTTGTTGCCTTCCATTTTCCTATCATCTTTAAACATTGGGCAAGAGATGTATGTGAGGAACTGAAATGCAGAGCTTTGCCACTAGTCTGCTTCTATAACATGATCTCCTTTTGCTTCCCAAAAGCACATGGGAATGTACTTTTCAAAGAAAAGTAAATTTTGGCAAAGTAAAGAAAACTTTCATTTCAAAGAAAGTATAACACAGAGAGTACACAGTTTATATAGTCTTCTCATGTTCCCTCTATAATAGGACTTAACTGATGAACTTAATCTAATAGGAAAAGACTTCCTTTGACCTTTCCGACCCTGTTCTTAGTAGCAAGTTGAATAAAACTGGTGCTGGTACCTCTGTGAGAACTTGACATTAGTTCTAAGTTGCAGCTTTTATTAAATTCAATCTGAAACTAGTTATTAATATTGGTACATTAGCTTTCATTAAAAAAATTGTTAGTTTTTTTCTGTATGCTTCTGACCTCTTGATAAAAATTGTCCACAGGATCCGCCAGGAAGGTGTGAAAAATCTTGTTTAGTGAACCAGAGCATCGGGTGGTTCAAAACCATCCTGGAAGCAGGTGGCTCCAAGTGAGTKCTGAGTTTTCACATGTTTCAACAATGTGAAACTCTGAACTCTCTGTTTCAAAAACCTGCCTACTTAATACTTTTRTCTTGCTCATATACAGGACTAATAGGCGAAGTATTATTCTTGTGTGCTTTTCTTAAAATGGTGAAGAATCAAGTATTACAATTCTTGACCTTTAAATTCACCACACTGAGTTTCAGAATGTCAGCATGATCAAAAATTAGGCAAGAAAATCTTTCTTAACAGGACAGGTTTTTTTTGTTTTTTTTTTTGTTTGTTTTGTTTTTTTTTGTTTTTTTGTTGTTGTTGTTAACTAACATAAAACTAAGCTGTTGGCTGATGGATTCTGTGTGTAGGACTGGAAAATTTAGAGCCACTTTAAATTGGAGACACTGCAGGATGAACTCTATGCTCAATATCAGAGAATTTCTGGAGCAGTACAGAGCACTGTGGTAGAATAGCATGGTGATGCAATTGTAGTGTCTGATTTTATTCAGACAGCACTGAACTTCTGTAAATGTTTATTTCTCACATACACATTATTTAATCAGAAAGGTGGTTTAATTTTGTGGATTTTTCACCAAGAAACACTTGTGAACCCATAGATTGTATGCTGTGGAGTGAGATTCTTGTTCTGCAGCCCTTTTTTTTTCCTTCCCCCCTTCTCTGTAAGACAGTGACAAAAGGTTTCTTTTTCTTCTTTGAATACTTGAAAGGCTTTCTATGGCTGTTGGAGAAAACTGGAGGAGATAGCGGATCCATAATGATCACAGTAGGTGTTGTTGACTTAGTGATTAAGTGGTTAACTAGTGGCCAAACATGAAGTTATCCTATGTAGCAGTCTCTTCTCTTTAGTCATGCACCAATCTGACCGGTTTTAGAATGTCATCTTTACTGTAAAGCTGTGAAATTGGGCAGTAATTTGTATTGTGATAATTCRGATCCCATAAAACACGTGCAAAATTAGTTTTCTCTCTCATTTTCACAGTGTTTCTGCCTGCTACCATGAACTGATTGAACTTTGCAGACGTTTTAAGTGAAATAAATGAAAGTCTTGTGGGGGATTTTGTAGCCTTACAATTTTTCTTTTTAGAAGAAGTTGTCAGTTGCTGCAAAGGCAAATTACCTTGTGGTCAGGGTACAGAAGGAACTATACATATTAAACAGGTGGAGAATAGGCATTAAATGGGCATTCTTTCTTTGGAGGAAAAAGCAAATGCTCTCTTCAGTTACTGGTAGCAGCAGGGTGCAAGGATGTTCTTTTACTTTGCCTGGTCAGAGGTTTTGCCAATAAGCTTATCTTTTGCTTCAGGGTTGTAATGTTTAGTGTTGCATTTGGAAATCAAAAACTTTAATCTGTCGAAGAGTTTAAGATCTGAACACACAAGGAGATCAGGTCTTGGTTTCTAAAGTTAGAAACTGGAAGCTGAAGGTTGCACTCTTGGCAAGAATTCCATTATTCATGTGCAAATTAGGAATTCACAGGGTTAAAAGGTTAGAAACTGGCCAGGATGAGGTTTACCCTTGTGATAAAGAGCAGATGACCCTCATTCATTGGCCAAAGCTTTCATGTAGCTCCTCTGCAAAGTTAGTGATTGCCATGAATTGTTCTTGAGGAATGCAGAAATTCAAATGTGAGCAGGCCTTTCCTTAAGTGTCACTATGGAGCCTTATCTCCCAAGCACATCAGAGTAGGTCTGCAGGGACAGGGTTCCTCCCCAGAGGCCCCAAGGCTTTGCTTTCCTGTTGTTCATCCATGCACAAAAGAATTTGACTAATTTAGGGCTTTTTTTTTTTTTTTTTTTTGGTGAGATTCCCTCTACTTTTTGAAAGAAAACTCTGGTACTGAGGTAGTGCTTAGGTAAAACTAAATATTAGTTTCACTACATGCTTGTAGTTATTTCCAAAGCTGGCTGATTGATGTGGGGGCAGAGGAGGAGGTCTCGTCTGCTTCTTTGTGAGGCAACATTCGGGGGGGAAAATGGTACTACCTAAGAGCCTGACTTACTCAAAATTCAACTTTTGCCACTGCTATTGAGAGAGAACTCTTTTAACTGAGTATTAARGGAAAGTAGTCTTTTTGGTACCACTTTGGATCAGCCAAAAGTAAACAAGCTGAGAGTTTTGTTTTCCTGCATCGTAAAATTATAAAGATTTAACTACAGTTAACTAAGATTCTGTCTAAAAATAAAGCTAGACTTCCAATAAGATATTATTAAGGAAAAATGGAGGAGGTGGAGCTTGTAACATAGAGTTTGGGTAGGGATTGGATAGGTTGCTCATTGTTTATTTCCTTTTCACAAAAAGTGGAAGTCTTAAGATGGTTGGATGGTATATAAACAGCATTCGCAGATACCCCTTTCTCCTCTTGTAACTTGGCTGAATTGATTTTAATGTTTGTGAACTCCAAGAAATGTAAGCCTAATTATACTCGTACAGGTTCCTACATTTCACAAGAGTAAAAGGTTATGCAAGCAGAAGGTTTCTGGGAACATGCTCCTGGAGGGAAGATGCCTGTGGGGCCCCTGCACAGCAGTTTGTGAAATGCTGGGCCCTTTATACAACGTGTAGCCTGCTTTGTGTAAAGTTCATAATTTTGCTTACCTGCTGGGACAGTGATGCAACTTCTGGCCCCACTGTCCTGCCAATAATTGGCTGTATTTATGTTTTTRCAGCCTAATAGCATCTTTTGCTCTGCTTTTAAATATTTGCACTGAAGAGTGCATCCAGCTAGGGCTCTTTCTGTGCTGTGACAATCACGTTTTCTTAGCAGTTCCAGCTGTTTGTTCCCACTTTTGCATTGTGCTGTTCCTTGTGTGGGCACATGTAGCTGACTGAACAGGGAACTGGTCTGGGTTAAAATAATAGAATTAAACCARAAGATGATGTTTAACCCAGATGAGTGCCCTGATGCAGTTTGTCTTGAGCCACTCGCAGTGATTGCACTGGTGTAACTGAGAGGGCTGATGTGGAGGTGGGAAGACTTAGTGAGGACAGGGCAAGGCTGATGAAACTTAGACTCGTCAAACTATAGTGAAACATGTAGGCAAAAATTTTGCCCTTATGCCACCGGTTTTTTTTTTCTTTTTAAATAATTTTGAATCTTGCATTAGAATAATAGGATTAATAGCTAATATTAATAGTTTTTGTTTTCTGTGTGAACTGCCATTTCTGTTATCTTCCAAATGCATATGGAACCTACAGGTATTTTTAATTATGTTAAGTAGCAATGGAGAGAGGTACAAATTCTGAGAAGGAAGGTGGTGTTAGGGGGCAGAAATGCTTTTTGACTGATGTGGAAGTGGAATCCCAAATGGCAGCTGTAGACAATAGCCTTGTATTGAAAGAGATAGCAAAGTCTTAATGCAGCAGAACTGGTGTAGTTACAGACAGCTCGAGGAACCTGGTGGTCTAGGTTTTGACAAGTGTTGTGCTACTGCTGTTTTTTTGATTAATTGATTTGAATATCCTGAGAGGAATATTTGTTTCTAAGCTGAGAGTGCCATGGCTGATTGTCAGTGCATTTAAATTCCAGTATTTTTAGGCAGGAGGATGAGGTTCCAATGTCTTAGTCAGCAATATCAGTTGATTACAGTGAAGAACAGTAAGATTTTTGTTCTTTAACTGAGATATCCTGAAGAAATAAGAAAACTGGGAAGTATTTTCCTTCTTAAACCTTTTTATTGTAGGA